TCGTGTCGGGCGCGCGCTCCTTCGCGAGGCGGCGCCACGTGCCGCGGGCTGCCCGGGGCAGCCCCGCGCCTCTGCGTCAGCTCGCGCGACCCGCGGGCCGGGGGCGCTCCCGCGGGGCCGGGCCTGGCCGGGAGAGTGGCGGCAGGAGCGCGCCTGCGGAGCGGCGTTCCGCTCGCCCGGTGCTTGGCCCTGGTGCTGCCGAAGGGGTCGCGCCCAGGCTTGGGGCTGGCGAAATGCAGCCCTGGTGCGCTCTGCCACGGGGGTCGCGCCCCCCGCGCCGCGCCCTTCCTGCTTGTGGCGCCCTCCGAACATCCCCGGTTCCTCCGGCGGGCAGTTGCCGATGGCCGCAGCAGCCCGCGTCGCGCCCGCGCCTCCAAGGTCGCCCCGAAGCGACCTTCTCCTAGCCGTGCGAGCCACGTGCGTTGGCAGAAAGTTCCGTGCGGTGCGATCCGCATCAGTTAGGATGCCCCTCCCTGGAGAGCCAGACGCGGGCCTCTGCGTCAACGGGGAGGAGGCTGGGGGCGGGGCGGGGACCACTGCGCGGGATCCGCTGGGTCGGCTGCGAGCGGCCGTGGGGCCCGCGGGACATGCGACCCGCCCGGCGGGGGAACTGCTCTGCTGCTCGCGCTGGGTCGCCAGGCCGGTTGCGCGCGGCCCCGCTCCCGCGGATTCCTTCCCGCGGGCAGCCCTTCCGGGCTCCGTGGGCCAGCGACCCAGTCCATGGCTCTCTCACCCGGGCAGCGCTCGGCTTCCCGTGCCTGCGCTGGCCCTCGTCCAGCTCTGCAGCTTCCGAGTGCGGCAGAGAGCGGGGGCATGTTCGGCGTGAAGGGGAGCAGATGAAGGGGGGAGCGCGGGGGGCCGCCCTGCCGGGGTTGGGCCAGGGCTGCCCCTTGCCCCTGCGTGCGGGACTCGAACCAAGGTGCGGAAATAGCCCGGGGGGGGGGGCTCATTTCGATGACAACTGGGAGAAACTTCTTGGCCGTGGGATAAACAGCCCAGCGCGGGGCGGGAGAGGCAGAGGCCGGTTGCTGGTTTCCCGGGGATGCTGGAGAACCCGTCCTGACTGGGGAGGGTTCAGCCCCCAAATCACGGCCGGCTGTGCAGTTCTGTGACCGTGGATTGCATGCCAGCTGCGGCAGGCGGTCGTCCTGGCTTGCCGGGGCTGCCGAAGCTGCTTCTGGGTCCCAGAGGGCAGAGATACCCCAAAGCCTGTGGTTGCTCGCTGGGCCGGCATAGTTGGGGGACAGCAGTGTGTGGGGCCAGAGGGGCGGCCAGGTGTCTGATGGCCTTTGGGTTTGCGAGCCCCCCCCCCCCCCCGGTGAGAACCGGGGGGGGGGAAGCACGAAGGGGGCCGCTGAATGGCAGAGAGCAGCCAGGATCTCTGGTTCCAGGCCCCTCCAGAAATGCTTTTCTGGCAGGTGTGGAGGGAACAGCTTTATCAGGGTCCCCCAGCATAGGTGCGGACCCCATCCCCAAGTGGACCTGCTGGACATGGGGGGGAAGACTGGCAGGTCTGCATGGCCCCACCCCAGAAAGCTCTTTCCTTTCCCCAGAGATGTTCATGGGCTGCCTCAGAGATGCCTCTGGGCAGAGGTTTGAACCGGGGCCTGGCATGGTGACCAGAGGAGCCCTGCCTTTGGGGAGTCTCCACTTGAGTGCCCCCGGCCCTGGGGTGAGCTGCCATGGGCACCGAGATCGGTGCCTCACCAGGGCAGTGCCCCCACCTGCCGTCGCGCCCCCTCAAGGGCAGCCTCTCCTCCAGCAAAGCGCCAGGGCAGTGCCGGCTCTTGGTGCGCACCCACGGGCGGTCACAGCAGAGCCAGCCCGGCTTGGACTCACGCCCCCAGCCAGCCTGGGCCCCCCAGGTGTTTGGCCACATCCCCCAGCTGAGCAATGGCAAGAGCAATAACTGAAATGTCTGAAATATAGCAAGGATTCTGAGGATTCCCAGGATTTCTGAGCACTGGCCATGCTGGCTGGGGCTGATAGGAGCTGAAGTCCCAAACATCTGAAAGGGGCCTGACCGGTTCCATCAGCCAGTTCCATATTCCACGTAAGAATTCTGGGGCAAAAAATATTCTCCTGATGCCAAAAAGCAAATGCCTGCCTTGAAAGAGTGTCACATGACCCATAAAGCCCCTCTGAAGCCCCCAGCTCCCTGACCACCTGCGTGGAGAGCCTCTGGTGTTGGGAGGCTGGTACTGCACGGTGCCGCCCTTGATGGGAAGGGAAGGGAAGGGAAGGGAAGGGAAGGGAAGGGAAGGGAAGGGACCATCGCGCCTTCGGGGGCAGCTTCCCTTGCAGAATCCAGTACCCTCCGGGCACATGCCTGAGATGATGGGAGCTGCCGTCCTACCCATTTGGAGGCCATCAGGCGGAGGGATGCGGCTGCACAGGCGTTCCTCCCGCCCCGTGTGCCCTGATGGTTGCAACCAGGTGGAACCCGAGACGGCTTGCGGGCATGGCGGGCACCCCCGTAACGCCCTGCTCCAGCAGCACCCGCAAGGGGCGAAGACTCGGGGTGACGTCTCAGGGGAAGGTGGCCTTTATTCCCCAATAGGAGCAGCCTAGCTGTGACTCCTCAGGTCTGGCAGAAGTGCGTTCTGCACATGCTCAGGGGCCTTGAAACAGTACAATACTGTGCATCGCTCAGCTGAATCCAAGCATTCCAAAGCAATTCCCTATGGCTGAATGTTCCCCAGTCACAGCAGGAAGAAGCCGGAGGCCCTGAGTTTTCAAATCTGGATTTGAGTGTTGGACTAAAATTCAGTTTTAATGAGGGTTTTTATTGTCCCTTGCTATTTTTATTGCCTTTCCCGAGCCATTGGAACAGGACAGGCCAAAAACAAGATGTCCAGCTTGCCGAGAGCTCGGCTCAGTCACCACTGGAAGAGCCACAGCTGTCTTAGGGGCCCCTGGCTGAGGCCCTCGTGGGCCGGCGCGGGGTGCGGGGTGCTGAGCTTCCTGCGGGAAGGCTCTGGGAAGGCTGGGCTCGGAGCCAGAGCGCACGCTCGGCGTGCAGGAGGTTGGGTGCCAGGTTGGACTGCCGGCGGCCCCAGCTGGAAAGGGCTCTCCGTGTCCAGGAGGAAGGCTGGCCAGAAGCCTTGGTCCGGCCAACGCGAAGGATGTTGTTGTGAAGCGAAGCTGCGGAGGGAAGGTAACGTGCCTTCTTGGCAGCAGAGGGCTGATGCCAGGATCGGTCCCCATTTTAAGTCGTTGATCGTTGGCCGAGTCGCAGGCCAGCAGCCGGTTGGACAGTTTGGCTCCTGGCCCCGTTGCAACACCCGGCCGTTTTGGAGAGAACCGTTCGGCGATGGAATGCTCCCCGCATTTGGTGGTGGTGGGGCGTGTCCGGAATGTGCGGATTTCGGAAGAATTCCAATTGTTTTTTGCTTAATATCTGAACTCAGTTCAGAAATTTGGGGTTTGGTCGTTTACAATCCAGGACTTTACCATGCTGAGCAAAGGGCGATAGGGAATGAAGGGCATTGCGATGGAAATTTCTGGGGAGGCAGTCCAGAAAATTTCCACCATCGCGCCCTGAGTTCAAAATCTCTCCCTGCACAACGCAGTCAAGCTCTGGATTTTTAAGTGACCCAACCGAAATTACTGAGCAGAGTTCAGAAATGGGGAAGTTGGATATTGTGTCCTTTAGTGCACGCAGATGCAGCTTGCTGTTACTAGCAGCACATGGATGCCACTTGCCCTCCTGCTCATGGATTCCGGGGAGTCTTCCCCGAATCTTTGGCAGTCTTCCTCAGCCTGGGGCCTGCAAGATGCCCCAAGGCCCAGCCATGGCAGAAACGCAGAATAAGCATCCTTTCCTCCCAGGAAACCTTTGGACAGGCAGGGATCGCTCGCGGTATGCGCAGCTCCTCACCAGCTCCAGTTTCCGGGATCCTTTGTGGGGCAGACACAATAGGGAACTAGACCTTAAGCTTTGCACTGCGGATGCGCCCTGTGCGCATGGAGGTGTCGTTTGTGCGTGCCTCGCAGTTCCGAAAGCCATTTCTCAAAGTGCAGCTGAAATGCATTTCGCTCTGGAAAGTGAAATTGCTTCACTGAAGGGCAGGCAGCAGAAGAGAGCCATGTAAAAAATGCACCTGCTTGCCAGTTGCTGAAGGAAAATTTTTCACCTGAAATTACAGTCATGAAAAGGGGGAAAAATAATGGACGTGCCTGTGAGAACTGCATTGCTCCAACTTTTCTGGAAAGCTGCAGGATCCCGGTGGGCAGAGCAGTAGCAGAGGACAGCCCCTCCTGAAAGATGGCTTCGCGTTGCTGCAGGGGCTCTGCTTTGGGGGCCAAGTGTAGGGGAGCGGGGCGTTGGGTGAGCCCTGGGTGCATTTTGGTGCTCGCAGAGCAGCCTGATGCTCAGTGGTGCCGGCAGCCGCCCCGCACAGACGCCCGAGCGCTTCCTTCCTTCCCAGAAGCACCGCGCCGGCGTGGTTCCTTGGCGGACGCGTCGGCTTGAAGGGGGTTCTTGAGACTCGAAAGTCCGCAGCTCGCTGGAATGCAGTTCCGGTGTTGCAATCGGTGGCGCTTTGCTCCAGTGGGCCCGGCCTGGTCCTCCGCCTGTATGAAGCCGGGCCACAAGAATTCGAAAACGCTTGCACAGGAATCTGAATGCTTAATGAGGAATCCAGACAGGCTCCATGGGCGAGAGGCGTAGGACGAGTTGCATGGCACATTTCTCTCCGCATGGATTAAAAGCACGTGTGGCAAGATGCTTCAGGCTGCCGGGCCCTCTGCGGCGCTGTGCGTGAGCCTGGGCCCGTGAGTCCCTG